CAGTTGGTGAGTGTCTAAGAATACACCAACATACAATCATCAATGTGATACAAATACAAGGCCACAATGCCTTGGGAGCAACAGACTATATTTGGACACATGAAACAAGAGAGTGTGGCTGAAATACATGACCAAGAGGGAGAGCTAAAAAACGTTTGTGACCAAGAGGAAAAAAATCATTGAAACAACTTGAAAAAGAATTTTGAGAGAATGATATTTAGGTACCTTCAAATGATTCAGGTACCTTCAAATGACATGAGGTCCTGGTGTAGCACTGTAGGATAAGCACAGGACTGCAACATTGGTTTGAACCACAAGATCGGAAGTTCAAACTCACCAGTCACTCCTCAGAAACTCTATACTGGGTTGCTATGAGTCAGCACTGACTTGACAGCACTTAACAACAATAATAAATAATTGACAAAAACGTCAAGTAACACAAGGAATTCAGGAAAACACTACGGGAACAAATAAGGTAGATAAAGGATTGGAGATGATACAAAACCTGCAAATAGAAATTCAGAGAATATTACTAAGATTTCAGAAATGGGTACTACATTGAAAGGGCAAAGGAGTAGGCTTAAATCAATGGAAGACTGAATTAAACTTGAAGATAAATCTCTCAGTACTTTTAAGCTAGAAGAACAATCAGCAAAAAGAATGAAAATATCTGAAGGAAATCTAAGTGTTATGTTGGACACATGAAGAAGAACAACTTACGGTGATTGGAATTCCAGAACAGGAGGAGACAAACGCACAAAATGATAAAGGACTGTTGGAAGAAAATTTCCCTTACATTCTTAAAGATAAAAAGATAAGCATTCAAGAAATTGAGTGAAACCCCAAACAGGATAGACTCCAAAAGGAAACCACCAAGACATATCATATTAAAATCTCTAAAATAAACACCAGGCAAGAATCCTGAGACCATTTCAGGGAAAACTAAAAGTTACCTACAAAAGCAAACTAACAAAATTAAGCTCTGATTTCTCATCAGAAGTCATGCGGTCAAGAAGGCAATGGGGGAGACATTTACAAAACTAGGAAAGAAAAAAAATTGCAAATCAAGAATAATATATCTAGCAAAACTGTCCCTAAAACATGATGACAAAACTAGAATATTTGCAGATAATTTGCAACAAGACCAATTCTACAAAAAATACTAAAAGGAGTCCTTTTTACCTGAAAACCAACAACAGCAGACAACAAACTGAAATGGACATATATGGCAACACCACCCAGAATTCAATCCAGATACAGAATATCCAAAGTAAATCTGTTGTTGCTTAGTGCCATCAAGACGGTTCTGATACATAGCGACCCAGTATAGGGTTTCTGAGGAGCAGCTGGTGAGCTTGAACTGCCAACCTTGTAGTTCAAATCGATTTTTCAGTCCAGTGCATTAACCCACAGTACCACACCAGGATTAAAAAAAAAAAAAACAGACTGAAAATAGGCAAACAGAGGTATCGATTTATAATGACAACTACAAAGCAAAAAGGAGGTAAAAGTATAGTCAAAAAATTTCCAAATAGCAAGGGACGTCAAGACTGTTTTAAACTAGGAGAAAATTAATAAATTAACAAGGTTACCTCAAAGAAAATTAATACACCTTCCAATCAAATCAAGATGCAGGAAAACCACAAAGATTTAGTAAACATTAAAACAAAAGCAATGAAGAAATTGACAAGAAAATGCACAAGCAAAAAAGAATTCAGCATAGGAAATTATGTGGCACAA